TAAGAGGACATTTTATATGAGTATATATAATATATATAATACATACATAATATCTATACATTTTTTCATATATACATACAAACACATATGTGTAGAAAGATTATCTTAAGAGATTGGGCCACATGATTGCGGAGTTGTCAAGTTTGAGTGTTTTGTGGCTGGCCCATTGATTGAACATTCAGATAAAAGTTGATGTTATGGTTTTCAGTCAAATCCAAGACAAGTGAGCTCCTGGAAGCTCAGGCAGGATTTCTGTGTCACAGTCTTGAGGCAAAATCCCTTTTTTCTAGGAAATCTCTTTTTTTGCTTTTAAGTCTTTCAAATGATTGAACGAAGCCCACTCAAATTATGGGGAGTAATCTGCTTTACCTAAATGAAACTATGTTAATCACTTCTACAAAGTACTTTCACCACAAGAGATAGGCCAGAACAACTAGTTGTGTGATGAAACGAAAGGACATTGTAGGCTGCCCAAGCTGACACATAAGTTTAACTATCTGTCACCTAACACCTTGCCCAAGTCACAAATATTTTCCTTCCTGCTCATGCCAATTACTGTGATCTTTCTCACCCTGCTGTATTAAAGTTTTGTTACTTAAGAATAAATCCCTAAACACTGTTTTCTGAATGTGCCTGTTTTTTGTATTAAATATGTATTGAATACCGAGGAATAATTTCAGTGTGGCTGGTTGCATTTGCTTAACACTCCATTTACGAGATTCATAATATAATCAGAGGTATACTTGATTTTAAATTTAATACCTTACAATATTCTTCTTGGTTATCCTTACTGATTTCTGATTCTTTTCTTCTTCTTTGGTGCATTTGTTTAAATTGATTTATTGTTTAATGTGTTACTCATTAATTTGGAAGCTTTGTATTCTTTTGATCTTAATTGTCACTAGGCTAAAGATTATACATGGAAAGCAAGACTTACCAAATGTTATTAAAAATTTACCTTCTTTGCAAACATTTTAAGGACCTTAGAAGAGCTTAACTCTTTAATATAAACTGAAACTTCTTTAGCTAGACTTTTAGACATCGAAATCTTAAGGTGAGGATTTGCCGGAGGGATGTGTTGAAAGAAGCTCTTCCAGGGGAAATAGCAAAGAAGTGTGGAAAATAAGGGAAAGAACAAGATGGCGGAGAATGTGCCACAGGTTACTCATTCTGGTCAAGTCATCCCAAGGCTTGGTGGGAGAGCTAGATTTTCTTGCTCCAATACCCAAGAACTGAAGCAATTGAACAGATAAAAGATATGGTTGGCTGTGTGTTTCCCCTATATTTATGTGCCTCTTCCTATATTTTAATTCTAATTATTTTAAGATACCAGAATGTGTTCATATTATGGTTATGCAATCAATGTCCATTTAGGTTTATTCACATACTTTTCATTTCTATCACTCTCTTTTGATATCTGCATCTCTGAACTGCCAATTTACATCCTTCTTCCTAGAGAAAGTCTTTACATATTTCTTCATGACAGTTGTGATGATGGTTGATCTTATTAGTGTTTATTTGGATTTGGCTCTTTTAACATTCATTCTTTAATAATTTTAGTTTTATCAAGAATTTTTGGTTGGTAGTTATTTTCCATTTGCATATTAAAATGTCATTTTACTGCCATCTTACTTTCATTTTGCTTTGAGCCTAATATTTGCTAACTGTCGTTAACTTAAATATGATCAAAAGATTCCTTTTGATGTTTGATTATGTTCAACTCCAAATGCCGTGTTTGGATATGGGTATTTTTTATTTACCTCTTGGAATATACTTGGCTTCTTAAATGTATGAAATGCTACCTTTTATTGATTAGAAGAAATCATCATCAATTTTCTGCCAACTATTGTTTCTACTACATTTTCTTTAATCTCATCTTGCTACAATTTATCATATTTTTATCATATTTTCTGTATCTCTTCTTGTCATCATTTTCTAATCCCTTTTTCTTTCTGTGCGTCAATCTGGAATCCATTTTTCTATATCAAACCACTAATTATTCTATCCACTGAGTTCTTAATATTGGCTTCTGTGTGTTTTATTTCTAGAATTCCTAGTTGGCTGTTTTCAAGTGTTGTGTTTATATTGGGTTGTTTTCAAGTATTGTGTTTATATTTTTCAATTGGTTGGACAAATGAGTTTGTTTTTCTATCCATATATTTGTAATTTCCTCTGTTTTTCTGTCATTATGATATCTAATTTTATTGTTTTGGTTGATTAACATAGGTTATACTCTTTTGATCTTTTTAATTATGATTGGGATTATCTTAAGAGCTAACTTTTATCTATTCTGGAGAATGTTACATATACAATGAGAAGAATGATGAATCTCTTGTCCTGTGGGGAGTGTTGGATAGTGGTTTGTTGTTTATACCTAATTTATATTGCTATTAAGCCTTCAGTTTCCTTGAAAGCTCAATTAGTTCTTCAAAATGAGATGTTTTCCAACTATTATTACTTATTTGTCAATAGTTGTCTCTTTTTTCCATTCACGTAAGTTTCTCTTCAGGTATTCCTTGTATGGGTTATTAGACAGATACATTTCTAACAGTCTTCTTCCTGGTGCATCAATAATTTAAACATTATAAAATTTCCTTTTTAAAATCTCTAGTGATAAAAACACTCTCTAGTGATTTAAGGTATCTGAGATGTTCTAAATTTAATTACAAAGATCAGGAGTGGTGTAAGGGAAATGATGAATCAGATAAGATTCAGGAGAAACAAACATATGCTTGAAGTTATGTTGAAACTGACTTAATCCTATCATGGCTGATCATAGGGCGTGGTACCCTATTTACATATGAATCTCTCAATCAGTCCAGAAGGAGCTATTATTTCTCCTTACTGGATGCTCCTCATTTCACAAAGCTTTCCTGCTTGGCTTATTCCACCTCTGTTATCTATATCCAATATCATTCCATGTAAACAACTTATGCTTTTCTTTCACAAATATTATGAAATACATTTAGCTCTGGGTTCAGGGGGCATTTTTCTAACTACTATCTAGCTTTGTTGCTAGTAGTGATAGAATCTTGTCCTAGAATCTGCTGTTTATCCATTTTCTGTAAGGTTTAATAAACACTGTACTTAGAGATCATTGGGTTTCAAGAGTTTGGGTTTAAAGTACTAACAAATTTTCCGCTCATGATTATTTTGTCTGACATTAGTGTAGCTGTGCTAGGCTTTTTGTGTTTTCTTTTCCTCCCTCCCTCCTTTCTTTCTTTCTTTCTTTCTTTCTTTCTTTCTTTCTTTCTTTCTTTCTTTCTTCTTTCTTTCTTTCTTTCCTTCTTTTCTTCCCATCCTCCTTCCTTTTTACTTCCTTATACTTTTCCTTCTTTTTAGTTTCATTTTGTACTTAGGTAAGCTTTTAGCCTTCTACTTTCAACTTATGTATATTTGAATGAATTGTGTGTACTGATGACATGTAGGTGAAACATTTTTAAAATTTCATTCTGAAAAATGTCTGCATTATGTTATGGGCGTTAGGTCCATTTCCATCAATGTAATTACTGATTAAAGTAGAATTTATATTTGTCATTTTGCTATTCCTTTCCAATATGTCATATCATTTTCATTCATCTATCCTTTACTGCTTTCGTTTTAGTCAAATCAATATTATATGGTCTATCATTTTGGTTTTCCCTATAGTATTTAAAAATTCTTTATCTTAATGATCACTCTCTTATAATTAACATTGCCAGCAAGATTCCATCCAGAGTTAACAATCACTAATCCTTCCACAAAAAAGGACCAGAGGAACAAGGACATAGGTGAACAGTTGTGTTTACATCACACTAACCTAAGGAGAGTGTGGAGTACAGCCAGGAAGAGGTGGAGCACAGGACTCAGGGTGGCAGGCTCCAGGAGGAAGCACCCCATTGTCCCATCCACCCAGATCCAAGTGGAGGGACTTCTCCTGCCTGATATCGGTCAGCAGGCACCCCCAGGTGGTCCGCATAATTCTCTCAGATATCTGTGGGCTCTTCTGCTGAAGAATCCTGCTGTCCTCACACAGCGTAAGAGCGGCCTAGAGTACATGCTGCTGCACTGCTTCAGAGAAGCAGTTCACAAGGTGCCCTCTCCCCATGAGACGGGCAGCCATGGTGCCACCTTGCCCTGTGGTCCAATGGGTGCAAGCAGCCCCTGCATCCTTGCATCCCAAATCCCTGCATCTACTGGACCATGACTACATACTTAGTAACAGACCACTTCGCAGCTACCTGCCCTGGGGATGAGCTGCTGGGGAGGAACTGTCTTCCCATGGCAGGTGCTGCTGCACCTGCTCCCTTCTCTGTGGAGTTGAGGCCCAGTGAGGCATCCTGAGTAGACTCAATGTCCCACTCTACTAGGAACAGCTTCAGCCCAAGGGAGCAGCTGCAGTCTCAGAGAAAAAGAAGCATATCCAGTGTTCTCCCCACCCTGGCCTAGGACACTGGCCTGTTGGAGAACAGGGCCAGTGGGGTGGTTATGTCCTCATAGGTGAACTAACAGTGTCTTGTACCTCACCCAAATTAGAAATTTGACCCAGGGGAATAGCTACCCCCAGAATGTCAGCCCCACCTGGCTCCTGGCTCCTTGGGACCTGGAGCCTGACTTTGTCTCCAAGCCCCAGGCTCCATCATCCAGTGCCTGTGCTGAGTCAGTGCTCTTCCCAACCAAGACAGAAAGCCTTGGCTGGGCGGTGCACCCCACTTTCTGGGCTGCAAGGATGGAGCACCTTGCCTGTCTGATCTACACATATTCCCTGTGCTGAGTGGAGACATTATAGCAGTAGTGCTCGTAAATTCCAGGCCAAGTCACCACTGTGTTTCTCCAGTCCTGAGCCTTTCTGGACCCAGGCTCAGCTTCACAATGCCTGGCCCATTGCTGTGGCTCACAGCAGCTCCAGGGTCCACAGCAATCACCACAGAGTACCCTCTCTCCTGCCACCCAAGTGGTCACCTTGCCTGATGGCTCCAGGATTCCAGTGGCAGCCTGGGACTGGGGAAGCCCTTTCTTACCTGGAGTTGTGCCAATGCTGTGCCCGATAGACCTTGAGGACATTACCTAAGGGAATAATTGGTCACAGAAAGTGAAAAGTTGCATGATCTCACTTCTTCTACATAGAGTCTGAAGAAGAACACAAAGCACACAGAGATAGAGAATAAAGCAGTGATTGGCATGTGCTGAGGTAGTAAGAAAAAAGATGTGGAATGTGTCAAAGGTGCCAAAAAGTAGATATAGAGCCTGAACAAGTGTAGAGACCTATATATACAACAGGAATACTGCAGTTAATACAATTGCATGTGAGAGTTTTGTTAAACAAGTAGATTTTAAGCCACGCTTTTACCATAAAAGTAATGTAAAATGATAGTTACATTCATCTGGTTCATTATAATAACCATTTTACTCGGTGTATGTACCCCATAATGACATGTTATGTACCTCAAAAGTATACAATAAAATTTATCCTTTAACAGAATTGTGCCTTAATAAAATATAATTAGGATTAAGAGCAACTTAATTTCAATACATACAAATATTTTATTGCAGTATAATTTCCTTTTTATTGTCATGCAAATTGTATTATAATCATGAATTCATCTTTATATGCTATAAGCCTATCAACAGAGTTTTATTATCACTGTGCAAGAAGTTTTTTCTTCATAACAGATGGGTTAAGGAAGGAATTATAATAAATATTTTATACTATCTATTATATAATTGCCTTTATTGTTTTGTAAAATTTTTTCATGAGAATTTGAGTTGGTTTCAAATGTCTTCCATCTAAGCCTTCAGAATTACCTTAAATATTTTATTTACAGCTGTTCTATTAACAAAAATTTTCTGTTTTTGTTCAACTGAAAATATCTTTAATTCTCCCTAAGCAATAAATACTAAATGCTCGCCTATGTATTTACCATTGCTATTTAATATTAGCGCCATATCCTTCCACTTCTGTAATATGTCCAACCCCAGTAATGCAGCAATTGTGTCCATGGACCTCAATATCATTAATTGCCTAATTGTATTTAAGGTAAGTAACTAACAACACTGAGATAAGATATAAATACAGATATGGGTATAGATACAGATATAGACATTATTAATATATATTCACTTTGGGGATAATTTATCTCGACCCTGGTTCCTAAATACACTTGTTCTGATGATCTGTTTATTTCTTTCCTTGTTTATCCATTCATTTCATTCATACAATTAAACTTAAGTTTACATTTTTATATCCTACTTTTAATCCCCTCTACTTTCTGATTTTTATCCTGTGTTATGCTATTTTCATTAGTTTACCCAGCTATGACAAGTTTCTCTCTACACCTTGCTAGTTAATTATCTGTTTTATGTACTTAGCACTTGCTTTTCCATGATTCTTCCAATCTGGCTCCCATATTTTACTCAATTTATCTGTCTTTTGTTGTTATTGTTGTTGTTAGTTTGTATTTTTTCATCTGTGTGTGTTTGTGTGTGTGCCCTTGTGCCTGTGTGTGTGTGTGTGTGTTACTAGGGATTGAATGTTGAAACCAGGGTCTACCACAAGCTACATTCCAATCCTTTTTAATTCTTATTTATTTATTTATTTATTTATTTATTTTTATTCTGAGACAGTGTCTTGATAAGTTGCCCCAGGCAGTAATCAACTTGCTTTCTTCCTGTTTCCTCTTCCTCAATGCTGAAATTAGAGGAGTGCATCATTGTGCCCAGCTTCAGGGATCTGTTTTAATCTCTATTTAATCCTTTTTGTCTCAACTGTCTTTAATATTCTGTGCTAGTTTGGGAATAAAAGCCACAGACATAAACATGCCAGTCTTCCTAATGAGAGGCAGAGTTCATATTTTCTCCTTTCCATGTGCAGGGCTAGTGGCTGCTTTGACCATTTCAGTTAAGGACCTGACACTATGACTTCTGAGGCCAACCCATCAAAAGTTACAGTCTTCTTGTTTCTGGTGGGAAATTTGCTTTGAGGATGCCTCCTTTCAGAAACCAGCTGACACAATGAGAGAAGTCCAAGCCACACAGAGTGGTGATGTGAGAATAGGCTGGCAGACACAGCCAGCTGAGACCAGCTTTCTTATCATCACAGCCTGTTTGCCAAACATGCCAGGGAAAAATTGTCCCCATAATGGCAGGCCCCACATGTTCATGTCAGCTCCAGCTAATTGAATTCTGTTAGCAGGGGTCCCACACATGGGTACTAGAAACAAGCATTGCACTATGACTGACTCCTGCACCCAGAATCTGTCTGCAATACTGAATTAGTTTGCCATGCGAACTTGGAGTTTACTTCGCATCAATGTGATTCCAGCATCTGCTGTTATCCCACACCCTCCCTATCAGCACTTCTGCTGCTCAGTGAAGTTCTAGGAAATGCAGTTGGCAAAGAGCATGTCATTCTTCCTGGGATCTTTGAGAAAATTATCTCTTTGGCATTTATTGGGTGACATATACTTTCTGTCTGATCCTTTTCATTTGGAGATGGAATCATGATTTAAGAAAGTTAATATGTATCACTAGTCCAATAGCTTTCTTATAAGAAGATTATACTAATTTCATGTCTTGGAAAACAGAAAAGAGTAAGCATCACAGTTTTTACTGAAATCATGGTATTGAACATTTTGTAAACTTATTTTCAATCATTTGAACTTGCTGGTCCATGAAGTGGTCATAAAAGTTTAGAAAGAACATCCATTTTAAATTGAATCTGTCTTCTAGATCTCTCTATAGTAATAAAATATATCTTACAGGAGACTACCTCTCCACAATAATATCTAGGACACCTATTAAATGTTAAGCATATGTGTTATCTCCCTGTATAGTGTGACCTCAATACTCATACTTAATTAAGTTTGAGGAGGTCCAGTGAGTTGCAAAATTTTGAATACCAAACAAATAGTTTTGGCTGAAAACTGTAGCCATTCATGAAGCAATGGACACAGACAAATTTTAGCTTGCATGCTGAGAACAAATTATAGGTACTGGGACAAAATTTTCAGGTCAAATGTATGAGGTACCAAATTCAGAATTTCAAAACAGTGATGTATCCAGGTATGACTGCAGTAGTTTTACTATATTTTGGTTCACTCTATTAATGGGAATCTCCTGGGATAAGACATGAAAAATCTTAACCAAATCTGTAAACTTTGGTTCTGAGCCATGAATACAAGATATTATATAATCTTCTACCATCTAAATTAAAATGGAGACTGTTTGGCCATAGAATTCAGTGGTGAAAATAACTAAGAATTCAGTGGTAGAAATAACCAAGAAGATTAAGCACAGCTGTACATGAGTTTGACACAAAATAAGATTTCATACCATGTTAATTGAAAGAACATACCTACAAAACAAGAATAATTATTTCTAACCACTTCTAAGTTTTCTTTTCTGATTATTTGAACAAAAACATACCATATACCATATTTTTGGAATATATCCAATGCTCCCTTTTTCTACATAGTTAATTAATATGTAGACTATACATTATGTACAATAAATGATATCTTGAAAACATTTATTTAGTAATATTTGGCATATTGTATTAAATAAATATCAGAAAGTATTCTAACACATTTATAATGTGCCAATTAATGAAGTTAATGATTTTCCTTTTTATTCCCATGGAAGATAAACACTCAGGGATTATACTTCAGAGTGCATCTGTTTGCAAGATGTGAATTATTTTTCTTAATGTAATATCTTGTATTACTTATCCACACACTTATAAAATAAGTTGACATTTTGATAACATTTTGACTAGAATAGAATTTTCTTAAGCCTATACATTTATGAAACCAGTCATTTACTCACTATTCTCACAAACATCATTTTCAAAAAAATTGTGAGATTTACTTTGATGATTTATCCAGTGGCATGTGAAAATAACTCACCAGAAATTTAGTGTGCTAATAAAAATTTACTAAGATTTTTATACGTCTTTGTTTTAATTTAGAAAACATAGTAAATTTTGTGAAAGATTTTTCTTTTTTTCTTGAGCATTAAGCTGAATTTTTTTCACATTACTGTTTTTTAATATAATGATAATTGCATTACATCAAGATTTCATACATGGTAAAATATGGAACTTACAATGATCAAAAGTTTCCAAATGTATGTACTTGCTACATGTTAAGGTCAAAATATAAGTTAAGGATTTGGCTTTTTTCTTTTTATTTTTTTTGTTTTGAATTTATATTAAATGTTTTTTTTTAAAGGCTGTAAGATGAAAAAGGAAAAACACAACACAGATTACATTATGATGACCAAGGCAGTGGTCTACATGACAGAAATCAAAACAAAGCAAATGTATACAGTAAATATACCAGTGCTGAACACAGTACTTGAAATTTAACCCAAGCTGCATATGCATAAAATGATCTGACTACAGGATTATGCAAAATAATTTTTTTAGAACCCCAGAATGACATCCATTCTGACTATAAAGTGACTTATTCCCCTAAAGAGTATTTTGAGACACTTTCCGTATGACATGAAAAGAACTGACATAACACTTAAATACTACAAAAATAGTTGGAAACATATTTTTAACACAGTTCTCTATAAAATACACAGTTAATCTTATTACTTAAAAAACTGAAAAGCGAAAGACCACCCTGAATAATGGTGAAAACCTCAACAAGGAAAAATGCTCATCATTTGGATATCATTGGCAGAAAACTGACAAGATTTGGTTGAGGGCAATAAGGAAGGTATCTAATGAAGTCATTCATGTAAAATTTGTTCAAAAATGTTCATAAAGTTGTAAATTTCTTCTTGTAACATCTTAAAATATTATACCATGAACACACTTTCTACTATTTAACTGGAGGACAAAAGAATATCTTGAGGAAAGCATTTCTCAAAATAAGGTTCAAAAGTCCAAAAGAGTTCTAGGCCTGGATGGATGTACACCAGGCTTCTTAGTGTCTCTTGAGGGCCAGTAGCTGTGACTTCAGTCTCCCCCCCTGGACTTTGACTTTCTAGGTTTTCTGTGCCCAGCTCTGGGGAGGCCTGCCCAGAGCTACTGGGTGTTTCTGGGCCTGGTGATACTTGCCCCACACTCTTCCCAGTTTCTGAGCCATTGGTATTTGGTCTTAGGGAGACTTCACTGGGGTACCTTGATTTTGGTAGGTCACTGGTGATCACTCCTGGGGAGACCATCCCTGGGGTGTCTGTGACAGTCCTGTGGCTGCTACAGCATGGTCTACACCATCTGGATGGAGTCTTAATCATTCACAGATACTTTCTCGACCTGGGGTCCTGAGGCTTCAGCCTCTCAAAGTGGAGAAGCAGCTCAGCATGTTCGCTGTTGACCGTCTCCAGCCAAGTGAGCTTGGGAGATGGCTGTTACTAGACTGTGACACCCATTAACAAGGGTTCCAAGTTCTGTTTGGAGATGTTGCCAAGGAAGTGAGCTCAAGTCTTGGGGGTTCCATAACCTGAGTCTCCATGTAATAAAAAAGCCTATAGCCCTGTAGAGATAGAGACCCCTTAGGCAAGGAGAGATGAGCCTCTCCCCAAAGGAGTTCAGATAGCTGGCAGAACAGTTTTAACCACCCATGAAAAGCTGACAGTCTGCTGAGGCTGCACCTCCTCTTCACACTGCACCCTGCAAAGCTTGGTTTGCTAAGATCAAAAGAAAAGAATCTTGGCCCTAAGATGTAAATGGCCCCTGAAAAGACCCTGCCCTGTTGTCCCTAGTAATGAGCTAAATTAATCATTAAGCAGTCAAGTAGGGGCACCCTCAGCCCAGAGGCAAGATAGGCCCCAACTATTAGAAGACCAGCACCTTGAGCCCCCCTGCAATGGTGGCTCCATTTCAGGCACCCCTGCCTGTCTCTCTGTGAGAAGGCAGCTGTACTCTTGCATGCTTGCTGAATAAAAGTACAACTTTGCTTCTACACTTTCAGTCTCTATTTGATTCTTCCACAACCTTCTGTGTCATCGGTAGAGTCAGGCCTGGGACTGTGAGGACTCTCCTCCTGTCTCTGCCCATGACAGCCATTTTTTCTTCATACTAAATAAATCAGTGGCAACTTCTTTTGTTATTTTTGTCTAAGTATCTATGAATATTTTTTTCTATTTCTCATCTATCTGTTAGTTTTTCACTTTTGCATTACTGGGGCTTGTACTCTGCATCTTCTCAGTGAACTATATCCTCAGACATTTTACTTCAGATACCCACTAAGGGTCTCACTAACTCACCAAATTGGTCAGAGTGGACTCCACCATGTGACCTTCTTACCTCAGCTGTCCAGAGTGCTGGGACTGCAGTCACACACCATCCTGCCTGATTCAGTGTGCAACTACAGTGGTCTGGTGTGCCTTTATTGCAGAGATTTTCTTCACTTTTCCAATGGACTTCCCTTTTCATCAAGGAGCCTGAGAGAGGCCCTCTTTCTGTTGCTCACTTCTGCTCTATCCTCTGGAGCTCAGAACAATGTCCTTTATGACCCCCTGCACCTCCATGCTGTGGATCCCAATACTGCCTCAGCGCAGCCACCAGGGTGGGGGGAGAGTGGTGCTCCTGGCACCCCCTCAGCTCACCTCCTCAGCAGTTGGGGGGGGAGGGGCTCTGTTCCTCCAGTTTTTTGCTGTTTTGCACTGTGAAGTGCATCTGAAGATTTTATGTGGCCATGGCTATGGTGTCCCTGGGCCTACTCTAGAAAGTTGTATAACAAATTTCTTCTATGTGAGGGTCAACCTGATACCAGCAATGTTGAGCTATTGAAATATTGATTTCAGGATCTGCAAAGAGGTGAACCTGAAAAAGATAGCTTGAACAGGACAGTCTCCTTCCAAGCACCACTTGTTTACCCTTCATGACTGTGGGGCTGGCTGGAAGCAGCAGCATTTATCAGGAAGAGAGTATCAGGTCACGTGTTACCAGTAAATTGTTGACTGCTTCCAGATGTGGTGGAGGATGCTTGTAATCCCAGCACCAGGAGACTGAGGATATGCATTTGAAGTCAGCCTCAGCTACATATTGCATTCAAGGCCAGACCGAACTACATAGCAAGATCCTGTGCACAGGGCTGGTGTGGCATCTGCATCTCCACCACAGGGGCTCTCTGATGTCCAAGAGAAGGCAGCACAACACCTTGTCCTTCCCTCACTCCCAGATCCTGATATCTTCACAGAAATCAGCATCCTGGTTCAATTATCACTGCATAAGGAACCATCTCAGAATATCAAGAGTTCAAATATTTTCAGTATTAGGGACTATGAGTCTGGTTGCATTGTGGCTTCTTCAGCTGACCCTGCCTGCATCATTCTTGGAGCAACATTCCATTAATGGACATTCTCACTAGTATGCCTTGAAAGAACATCTACAAGACACTGATGGATACCATCGCTGCTATGCATTATGAGAGGCACAAATCTTTCTTGCTGAGATCAGAAATATGGTAAAGATTTCTCTTCTAACAATTTTTCTTCAATATCACAGTAGAAGTTGTAGCTGTGCCTCAGAGCCGAGCCCAGGGGCCGATGGACACTGAGGCCTAAGCACCTGTGTGTGGTGGCAGGAGCGCCATGGACTCCTGCTGCAGCTGGTGTGTTTGTCGGGGGGCTAGTACCTTCCAGTGTGTGGTTAGCATTCATTGCCCCCTCTCAGCCATGACTCCAGTCCCTGAAGGTCAAGAACAGAAAGCTGGAGGAGGGTGTAGAGCCCAGCAGCCCCGGTGGCATTAAAGAAGTCACTGAGACAGAGGGTGGTGGACGAGCTCAAACACTAGTACCATGGCTTCTGTCTGAGGGTGATCGTCCGGTTGGGCAGTGTGTCCAGGGGCAGGAACTGCACGAGCTCCAGGCTGCTGGACACCACCTTGCCCTTGGCAGGAGCCTCTGCCCTGCCGTCCCTCAGGCCGCCCTTCTTGCTTGCAGCCTGGGGGCAGCACTGAGACCCCATCTTCTTCTCCTTCTCCTCCTCCTCCTCCTCCCCACATGGTGAGCAGTGGGAGCCCCAGAAGGAGTGGCGGTGGCAGGGCAAGGCCCCGGGGCGACCAGACAGCTCCATGCTGCGGACCGGACCTGCGGGCTGTGCGGGGAGTGCCCTAAAACATTTTTCTTTAGATAAACTATTGTAAAAATTTCTCTGTAACAGTAATAAATATTTTTGAACATTAATTTCTAAAGATATAATTTAAATACCAAGCCATATTTTATCCTTTGAAATGATACGTAGTTGAAAAAAGAATTCACCCAATGCACACATTAACATTTATTCACAATAATGAGGCTTATTGAGCAACTATTTTACATCGTGCATCTTATGAGAGGGGAAAAAAAAAAATGGTCACTTTAAAAAACAAGACACCTAGGAACAAAATGCTGCAAGTATAAGAGGAGATTTTAATCCATTTTTCTCAGAATAAAAATGAAGCTTACATATTTTACAATGCATTTCCCTTAAATATTTCACTAATATTTTAAAAGTAAATCAGGGAAGTGATATGTCCTTAAACTACAAGGAAATCTATAAAAAAATTAAAAATCAACATAGGAAGTAAAGCAAGAATAAGATAATCAAATAAATATGGGGAGAAATTTAGAGAATTTTTAATAGTGTACAGAGATCTTTGAAATAAAAAACTGTAAGTTTTAACTGTATACAGTCATATGCCCATAGTCAAATTTCAGTCAACAACAGATAGAATATACAGAGGTAATTCCATAACATTGTATCATCTGATAATGTCATAGCTGTCATTATTTAAGTATAATTTATGATATTTACTGAACAATAAAATGATGTGAATACATTTCTACATCCCCATTATTAATTAGTTTTCCATATATATATATATAATATGCAGTAGGCTATGTTTAAAAAATTTGAAAATTTTCTGTGTAATTGTATTCATGTCCAGAGTCAAGTACAACAAATCTTCCAAAAAATAGGATCAGTGAAAATAATTTATTTTTAAAACTGCCATTTAAAATTCTGTGTTTTTATAAAAAATAAGAATATGTCTGATGTTCATTGACTAGAAGAATTCAGTAGCTAAAATGTCCATACTGCCCAAAGTGATCTGGATTTCTCATCCCTATCAAAATAACAAATGGCAATTTTAATACAAATGTAAAAAAATTCTAAAATATATGTGGACCTACAAAATAACTCAAATAGCTAAAGCAATTTTAAGAAAGAAGAGCAAAGCTGAATGGATCACACATCATGATTTCAAAATATAATTTAAAATTAAAATAAGCAAATTCTTGCAGTCTCACAGTGACATAAATCTATTGACAAATGAAACTAAAAAGAGGGCAGAAATACAAACTCACACCCTTATGTTCAGTTGTACTTGGATAAAGATGTCAAAAATTTTCACAGGAAGAGCATAAGCTCTTCAACCACTGTTACTGAGTAAACTGCATATTCTTATGAAATTGGACCCTATGTGCACCATACACAAAAATTAACTCAAAATACATTAAAGATTTAAACATAAGACTCAGTATTTTAAAATTCCTTGAAAAAACAGAAGAAGAAGCTTTTTGATATTGGGGTGGGTAGTACATTTTTTTAATATGACACCAAAAATACAAATAAAAAACAAACACAAATATAAAAGCAACAAATAGACAAATCAAGCTGCATCAAATTAGAAAGGTCACTCATAGCAAAGGAAATTATCAACATAGTGAAGAGACAACCTACAGAATGAGAGGTAATATTTATAAAATGGGCTTTTGATAAAAAATGTTAATAATAATGAAGGAAGATAGTCTTTCAAATTAATAGCAAAGTAACAAATAACTTTATTGAACAATGGGCAAAGGGCATGAACAGTCATTTTCACAAAGAAGACACACAAATGGTCCACAAGTAAATGAAAAGATGCTCATCATCACTAATCGCCAGGGAATACAAATAAAAGCTAATTTGATGTCACTTATATCTCTCAGTAGGAATGATTTTATTTTATTTTATTTTTTATTTTGCAAAGAGAAAGAACCGTGTTTGCAAGGATGTGTAGAAATTAAAACCCATGTACACTTCTGGTGGGTATGGGGAATGGTGTATCCACTGTGAAAAACAGTATGGAAGTTTCTCAAATAAATAACAACTGTCATATGACCCAGCAATCCCACTGCTAGGCATGCAGGGGAGACAAAAAAAAACAGTGAAAGCATGAATTTAAAAAGCATGTATTTTTACACTAAAAGACACATTGCCAAAAACAATAGATTGATTATATTAAAAATGAGGGGGTATTGGAAACCCCTGCCGCAGATCACAGTCTCCTGCTCCATGCTGCAATGCAAGGCAAGAAGAAAGATACAAAGACAGAGTTAAAGACACAG